ATCAGCATGAACTAACGACCGCGCGCGTACGACTCCCATCTGCTAAAAACTTTCATCCACTCTTGCTTTCACAGAGCAGTAGTGGTTTGAATGCTTCTACGAACACCAATATCGCGATGTGCCTGATAGAAGACACAGTCTAATATACCAACTTAAAGACACAACCACTGTTGCAAAGTGTATCAGACCCTTGAGACACGCATTCATTCGAGTAACGTACTCCCGATTTCGAAATACTTTCATCTGCAATTAAGGGGATATTTGCGGTATGGAATTTCATAAAACAGTTTCCGAACAGAGTAACTCGTTTCATACGTAGTTGAATTGAGAGTGAAACCCAGAACGGTGGCGAAATGCTTGCAGGCTAACCAGCCAGTTCAGAGAACGACCAATACCAGCAGTATGTTTTCATCCACACCAACGGATTCAGTCACTTACGAAGACTTGCTGTCAGAATGGATTGCTGTTACACTTGCAACAGCTGGTTTGGAAAATACGAACAAAGAGCGTAGATAGTGAACAACCAGATCGACTCAATACAAAATTTGTCCAGAAAGAGAGTCAAGGGAGCATATTTATCAAATGTTTGACAAGTTCGAAAAAGTTACGGACAGTAACACACATAATTAGTAAGAGCAAAACAATAGGCATTTTAGACAGTACCTCCACGAGTTTTCGAAATCAAATTTATCCAGAAAGACGATGGATATATGACTAACATTGCAAAAATGTTCTCCATGTCACATTTAAGAGTATTAGGAGAAAGAAATTCACCGATCAATGACGCGATCGGAGAGAACGCTACTTAATGGATGCATCAAGCGTCCGTTCACTTCACGCAGAGGAGGTAGGCTATAATCACGTTTGCAAGAGCGAACGTTCCACGGTAAACCGATATTGATACTGAAATGCAAACAAAGTGAACAAAACTGGTTAGTTAACTGACTACACATGGAGGACAGAATTTTACTTCCAGTCTGGATCCCGGCTGATGGAAATAGGTCAAACCAACTACAATAAAGCAGACTTAAGTAGAACAAATGTAAATAAAACTCGGAGGCGGAAGGAAAGAAATTATAAGTAATACTATTGTCAGTCGTTTCTACTAAACGCTATTGAAAGCAATGCATTTGATGAGTGAACACAATCATTCGATCCCCGGCCAGGAAGTCGGTATCATCCAACGGAACAAAATACTGACTGTAGAGCTGTTATCACACAAACATACGTCATACAGTAACTATCTCGCTGATGCTCCCATCATAAACCTGGCGATGCGAGCGATAGGACTGTACTAAAGAAACTTGTCGGAACCACCACAGTGTGCGAAAAGACCAACAAGCTTATTAGCATGCCAGACTTGTCGACTCCGAGAACACATGCTAGCGAGTTACATCGTAGTTAGTTCGGGGTCATAACTTCAAACACTTGATCAACCCCCATTAACGACTGATGTCATTGCGGTGACCAATCTGAAGTCAGACGGTAAGATGCACTGTTCCGCTACCTTCTAAAAAACAATGGTGAGGCCGACAGGAGGACTTTGAAGAATGGGCAACCCTGTCCGTGCTCTGGAGAGGTGAATCCGATGTCGCTGGTTTCAGCGACAGAAGCAACGCAGTCGACTGACATGGGAAGAGTTGTCATGGATTGTCTCTCATGGTGGGAGGAATCGTCGCGTCCCAGTGGTTAGTTACCGTCCTCCTTAAGCACGATGGCCTTTAGCTAATAAGATGTTGGCCAACCACTGAGTGCATCGAGCTTAAAGGATTGATCCGACAAACAGATCAAAACGCTAAACCTTCTGTTTTACAATCTAGGATGTTGAAACAGGGTGTCCTAGCATTTCTGACAAATCCTGCAAGAACTTCAACATCCAGAAGACTTACAACTGGGCGTGACTTCAAGAGATTCAATAGTGATATGGCCGTTCTACAGAAAACCAGATATCCTGTGAATAGCACCTTCAAAGATAAGTACTACACCGTCCTCTTGATAGAAACTAGAGGACAAGTCAGCCACAGCAGAAGTGAGGGCTCAATTAGAATACGCCGTGACGGAGACAAATGCACAAGCATACAGCCGTCGTAGAGGTCTCAAGGAGTTGATGAACGCAGACAGGGGCATTGTTACACACAATGTGCTCTACTGTAGAAAGTTCTCATGTCGTTACTCAAGCAGTGCATGACCCAGAGCAGTAGAAGTTCCTAGTATCTCAGATGATTCTCACACGGAGACTAATCCAGTCCAGAAGTTAAAAAAACCGACTCATGGTCATTCCAATAGAGGATGGCAGCCTCAGAATACACAACACACCGACTCAAAACTTTTTACTCGATTAACCTCCCCGAGTAGATTCATTTGCTATGCTTACTGTAGGCAGTAAAACTTCCCGTTTTTACATCAACACGGCCCCACTCATTAACAGACTTCGAGACCTATGATCCCAAAGAAACCTACTTATAGTAGGCATCTCGGAAACGTAGTGCAAAGCGGAAATATGGGACAGCAAACTGGTCATCTTTAGTAATGACAGTGTTTCACAGTGATGACACAATCGATGAAAGAGGTGCCGTAGCTATTTATTTGGGTCTACACCGAACGATCTCAAGTACCCGTGGCAAGGTGTTACTGGATCTTTCGGAAACAGTCTGGCAAGTAGTTAACGCCACTCCCAATTTCTGTTTTGGTTGGTGACTTACAGATCGCCTCTTGTGCACAAGAATGTCGACAAAGGTCTTTCACAACGCTCTGCGTAGAATATCACCTTCAGATTACACTGAAATAATGATAATGGGAAATTTTAATCACCTGAAGCTAGATTTCAGGAACCATATAGTCAGTACTGCAACGACTTTTCCTTTTACTGGGGAGTTCCTTGAGGTATTAATGCAAATTAAACTATCTCAGCATGTCTAGGACCACACAAAGTGGCGAATGGGCTAAGCGCCGTTTTGTATTGATTACATTCTTACCAACGAGGTTGACAGGATGGACGATCTAAATATCACAACTTCGTTTATTCACGGTGATTAAGGAACAACTGCATTCAGCCACCTAGTTCCCCAAATACGGATCCACCACAGAGCAAACTTCACAGGGATGAAGACAACTTAGCAAGGTTGAATGGCCTGGCCCCATCAACAAGCTCAGCCTACATGATCACTGGCATCACATCGCCGCGTTCTAGAAAAGTGTCTCCGATCTAATGGAAAGCTGAGACGCCTAAGTAATAGAACCAAAAGTTTAATTACATTGAAACTTCCAGTCTGGAACAGGTAACAACTACATGAAACAGAAATAGCTTTTTCGAGTACGTCATGTGGCGAAATCGTACTACACTTGCTATCAAAAAGGAGAGGTTTTGTTATTAACTCGGTTCTGCTGAAAAGTTGTAGTTTTTCTACAACAAACTCGCAGTAAACACAAGGAATACGGTTGACATTTTGCAACTGCAAAACCTCTGATGGGTTTATCAAAACAGATGTATAGGCGGCCAACAGTCCGGGAAAATGGTGTGCATAATTGCAACTCATGAGCATAGGAACGGCAACTTAGCCGAATTACCCCAAATTTCAGTGTCACAAAGTAGAATCAAATTAGAAAACCCACTAACTCATAAATCACCTGGTCAAGACTTGATATTCTCTGTCGTCTTGAAATGCTGAATAACCGAATTGGAAGAACCGCTCGCAGTACTTCTTAATCAATCCTTGTCAGCTGGCAGTCTACCGAAAACCTGAAAACTGTTTGCAAAGATGTATGCAGAGATGACTTAGCAAATTAGCGAACAATAGCGCTTTCCGTGGTCTCTAAATTAATGGAAAGAACGCTAGATGACTCTCTTCGAGTAAAGTTGAAAACTTCGAACCGACAACCAAAGAGCAACATGGCTTTCGTGGGAGTTATTGCTGACTGTTCATGATGCTTGGACGAAGGCTGCCAACGCATGATTGGCCATAAATGTGGTTTATCTTGACCAATCCAAAGCTTTTGACAAGGTTGATCATTCACTCTTGCTGTTGAAACTGAATAATTACGACCTTGATGAACACTTACTGACGTGACTTGAGAATTATCTGACTGAGCGAGGGTTCTGCGTCAAGGTGAGTGAACAATTATCACAGTGGTTTTCTGCCAACAGCGGCATTCCACAAAGATCCATCTTGGGATCCCTATAATTCAATCTTTTCGTTCTTGAACCATCCAGTACGGTCTAATCATCCATGTTGCCCTACGCCGATAACCATACTCTAGCGAGTTCTACAGTGCCTGGAAGATGTGATAACCACACAAAACGATGTTAACTGTTTAAAATGGTGGTCTATAGAAAACAACTTGTCATCCAATGTTAACAAATGTAAAGTCATGCACATTCGCCGTCAAAACTGTGCTAACTATTACCTTCGTGACACAAAACTGCTCTTGTCAGTATGCGAATGAGACCTAGGAACCAAAGTGGCAGATAGTTTGATTCTGTTTACAAGCTATGCTATCATGACTAAAAAAAGCCCAAATAACCCTGAACCTCTTAGGAAGAATTTGTGAATTGTCTCCCACTATGTTCGCCTTCATATACCATCCACCCATGGAAACGAAGGCCTGTCGCCCATATCTTGAGAAAGATTTGACACTTATTGAAAGTGTTCATAGAAGGGTTACTAGAATTATGCGGGCCAGGAAAATCCCCTACCAGGAAAGACTAACACAACTAGGTTAATACTCAATGAATTACAAGACATCTCAGGGATGATCTAATTCTTACCTACAAAATACTCCACACCCCTGTTCAGCTTTGTTGCCAGAACCTATTTACTATCATCAATAGAACAGCCAATTGAAACCATAAAATGAATCATTTCTCTCCGCTTGTCAACAATTCAGATCACATGAATGTTCTCAGTGTTAGTGCTTCCAATGCTAGATCCTCACCTACGAACTAAAAATCAGCTCTACGAGACTTTGGATTCATAGATGTGAAATTTCCGAGCTCCCGGTGTGGCTTCGTAGCTCATTTGGTAGAGCGCTTGCCACGTTGAGGCATTGTGTTTTTGTGGCTGGTTTGAATCCAGCCGAAACCCTGAGTTTTCACAGTTGGGTCTCATCTAAACTCATAAATTTGCCAAACGACTTATTAGAAATACTTTGGATTCTACTATCAACAGAATGTTCAGGACAAAGCGCGTATTTCGACTCAGAGATCACAGTGCTCAAGTGGGATCAGATCACGATTGTTAGTCCAAACATGTCCGTTTCTTTGACGCTGGAAAAGTGAAAGAAAATGGACAACAATCGACTGAGCCATGTCCTCGTCTTGTAAACATCCTACATCTCGTCAACGGCACCAGTTGGGTCTTGTTGATAGAAGGTCGGGGATCAAAAAAGTTGACATCGCTTGTAATTACCACAATGCTGGCTATAAAACGTACCACGTCTTGACTGGTAGTAAAAGTCGTTCACAACCAAAGGCATACTCCAATCAAGGAAACGAGAGAGTGGGTGGCTACATAAACCCCCTACGTTGATCACATCTTACCACGAGAATATCAGAAGCATCGTCTGACACAACGACATATCCTAAGAATCCTTCCTAGTAATCAATAGTTGATATTTTCACCTTCGTACTGTTGTCCCAAGTAGTCTGCATCTCGGACAACGAAGACTACGTTAATCCAAGAAACGGTAGCGAGTTGCTTACACGACTACGTTTATTCAGTAGTTATATTGTACAAAATATCCTGATTCAACAAATGCAGTCAAATGGTGTTTTACTCAGCGTGTATTTACCGTAGGATTGCGGGTCGGAGGAAGAGGTGGATATAATGGTGGTAAAGAAGAATGGCAATCAATGCAACGGTTTTAAAAGATTAGGCGAAAGAAGTCAGAAACAGAAGCAGTGTGAGACCAGAGAAAGTTGCAAGGCTAGGTGGAAAAATCGAAACTTAACCACAGTATCGGAAGTCCATCACAAGCACACAGTGTACAGGAGCAGGAAAAGTTAAGAGCAGAAATAGCTTCATTTGATTGGGATGCAGTAGCCAAACGTCCTTCTCATCTAAACTTCGGCGTATGGTGCTTTATAATGTTCAATATTGAAGCACCTACATATCCCGCCATGTAAGCCATCCAGTGTTACAAACAAAAAAGGGTTTTTAAATAAATTCCCTCGTTCTAATTTAAAGGTCCAGCAAACTTCCGTTTTAAACTTAGTTTAAAATAAACAAATATCAAATGTTTCGTTTAATAAAAATACGAATAACTGGGGTTTACGACGAAGCACAATTCTACAGTTATTGTATATTTAAAAAAGAAATCAAAAACATCGCTTTCATGTTTGGCAATCGTTTTCTTAACTGTCCTACAAACGGTACATACAATGTAAAAAAAAAATGAACTAGGAACATTTAAAGGGGGAAATTTGTGATATTGGAACAATAGGTTGATATCATACATTGATAGGTTTATGATGCAATCCCACTGTTGTTGCACTTACAGTTCACCTTGATCACAAAACCAAGCATTCGTGTTCCAGGACTGACGTCTTAACATCACCCGATTCATCACATAAGTGGCGATGAATAACGCAAATGAGAGACTCGGTTGTAACTACCTACGCTCCGACAACAGACGATCTTTCATGAGTTGATTTGGCTTGCAAAAGCTACTGGGACTTGAAAGCCGGTTCAATCTGTGGTACCGTGACAGATATAACGGAAATAATCAACCATTAAGAGGCTCACACTGTTCGTTGTTTAAAACGTCCGGGGTTTCATACAGGCATAAGGATCGGTCAGGTTGAACAGGTAAAATAGACTAGTAATCTACACAGGGGTACGACTGAGAAGGGTAGTGTGATACCGTAGAATCTCAATTGCTTCACGTAATTACAGGAGATCACTCGCCTTCGAAGGACGAAAACGTCGAGTACTGTGATATGGCGATGACAGGATGGTTCAAAATCCCAAATGCTCTCTCTTATTTAGCCGCACCTGAACACCAGTGAATACTGCAATCGCAAAAAAGAAATCTTGGCTGACTTCGGAAGTCTCAACTGCGCCTCTAACACGGCAAAGAACAAAATCTGCACCATCAATACTAACGAATTAATTGAAGGCATGATACAAACAACTGACAATGAAAGCATGCAATGACAGCACGCGCTACGAACGTCAATGCCCAAGTTTTCTAACAAACCTGGGCGGCACTTCCAATTTTCATGAGTGGAATGCTGTTGATCCGATGTACACGCCTTGTTAAGATACACTATTGGTCGTCTAAGTTTCGTCGGTTAGACAGAGAGAAAAAGTCGAACAAACAGAAAGGAGTGATAGAGCACAAAACGAAAAAAGTTTGTAGTTAGTTCGGAACTGAAGCAATCCAGTAACAAAATCGTTTTTAACAATCACAAACTCAGGACAGCGGAAACGCTAATGAACAGAAAAAAGAGGCTGAAAACACTTACTTCTTGTTCAATTTGCTCACCAGATTTCACAAGAAGGGACAATAAGAAAGCCTGTGCAACAGATAAATCTCACATTGTAACTGGTAGTAATCAACCGTGCATGAAAACCATAAAGAAATGAATACCAAAAATCTCTTTTAAAAAAACTCACTTAAAATATATTAATACAGTGGGGATGTATTTCATTAAGCAACAATGAAATTCAAAGTCGATTATTGATATAGAAATATGAGCAACAAACGGACTGTCAAAAGAAAACTGCCACAACTATTTACTGTACTGTGATCATTGACACGCAATTAAATGTTAGTTTCCCCGTCACAAACAATGTGCATAGGATTGGTGGCCGAGGGAGTGAAATTCTCACCTCACCTCTACTGGAACAGGTCGTATAGTGTCGATCTGAGGATGAACATTAAGAAGCTTTGTATCACAGCTACTAGTGAAGCGCTAGAATCGTCATTCCTTTCCAAAATTAGATGACTATATGGCAACAGTATGTGACATGAATAAAGAGTTCTTTTGGGCAGTATGAAATCTGGTCGATAACATAAAGCTGATACAGAAGTCAGAAACAGGTTTTGCGTAATGTATCTCTCGAGCACACTTCGCTGCAACTCATCAGGTACATACTGCTGATAGGCTGACGAGCAAGTGACAAGAATTGTCTAATGTCGGCCACTATCAATCGATAGATTAAACTTCTTTCGGAAATAGGAACAAATTTCATTTACGTGTCTTTGATAGAAAGAACAAAGAAAAACAGCCGCGCATTGAGCTGATTTGTTAAAAAGAGCAAAAGGAAAAACACGGTGGTGCTGCAAAGTTGACCGAATGCTAATAGTAAGCAACTAAACTTTCGCTTCTAATACAGTTCGTTAATGACTGCACACCTTCGTCAAAACACGTGTGAATAAATGTTTAAACTAAAAGTTTACCCACAATCGCCTGTGAACCGTGTTCCAACTTTCCGATTGCTTCGACAGGATCTACAGTATCCGTCCAACCGATAACCCCGCTACAAGGACCTCTCAGTCAATTAGTCAGTTAATCTACACAATAAAGCTGACGACCTATCCAGGCTGTTGAGTGTTATTCAAAAACCGATGACATCCATGACCTGCAAAACTGAATCGTGCATACGTATCAATCCGCCTGTTTCTAGCTAGTTCCCTCATTCAGGCAGTAAACCTTTTATCAACCGCAACTGTATATAACGTCACGATGCAGCAGCTTTAGCTAACAGTCCTTATTCAAACACCATCATAGATTAGGAAGTCATTCGGCGTGACTAACACAATATTCTATCCACTACCAAAGACGAAGCTGAGGTGACGCAGTTTCGGCAAACCACAAGGCAACGCAGGATCAGATTGTCAGACAAGCGATTTTAAACTGAACACCACCCACGCTTGATCTCAGCCTTCGGATTCAGGTAAGCCTTTCGGCTAGCCCACTTCGAAAGGAAGCACTAGAATAGAGTTTCGTTCTTATTAGAGCACACCAGTAGTGCATATCCTTGTCCGGATCGGAGTTTGCACTCCGACCCTTGTGATCGTGAGACAAATGTGTTAACCGCAATGCCAGTAATCTCATAACAGGCATGATCGAATGATCATATCCAAACGCTCAACCAAAATCTTGTGTGAATAGCGCTTAGCTCGCCCGGCCATTTCGAAAGAATAATAAACAGAATCGATCTGTCCAATCCAAACGTGATCAGGACTTTTTAGTTAGGTTGCAGTTTCCGACTACATTGAATCAACTGAGCATGGTTTAAATGTTTGATAGGAAGTTCAGGGAATTGGATTATTTCAAAATGAACACCACCTACATTTGACTGCAACCTTCGCATTTAGATAAGATTTTCGGTTGATCCACTTCGAAAAGCAGTCAACAGTCAAAAAACTTGTCTGAATGCGAAAGCTGCGATCAAGTATCAGTGATGTTCAATTGGAAATAATCTAAATCCCCCGGACTTTTATTAAACATGTAGGCAACTGACTGACTAAAAGAGTTCATGCAAAACACGCATACTTTGACCCGGAGTGAGTACTGAAACATATTCATGAGAATTCCGATTATAAACGGTGGGTAGCAAAGTATTTTGGCAATTATGAATGAAACAGTACTCTTAAATGATTGTGGTTGTCGCATTCATACAAACTTTTCAGTTAACTCCTTTCAATAAGAAACATTATACTATATAAGACAGTAATCTCTCACAGCAAATTTTAGTAGAACAGTCAGAAACCTGAATGCGCATGATTTATGGCCTATGCAACATTATTAACTGCGCACTAAAGGAAAGGAGATTATAAAGCGGAAAACAGAGGATAAATGTGAAACCAGACATAAGAGGGAGACATGCAGCTGTGCTACTCGCTCGTCATTCATTATCATTATTATTATCGCGCTGTTATGCTAAAATACCCGCAGAGAGATGGACACCAACCTCTCAGAGCAACCGCATCAGCATACCATAACAACCAGGGCTTGTAAGTTGCGTAAATAACTGTAATTGCTTGTGCGAGATCCACCTGGTGATGGCTCCAAATCCATTTTCAAAATATCGGCTCGTTTCGTTCGCCAGAGCCCACATTAATTCCCGATTTGCAT